ACGCGAGATCAAATCGTGCTACGAGAAATGTCTGATCTTCGTAAGATATGAAACTTGTATCGAATTAAGATCTGCAGAGTAGGGAAAATTTTACGTTTATAACTGTGCTTTGTGAAAATTTACTGTGTAGGGATCATACAATTTTTTATTGAATTATTTAGTTTTTATTAATCTCCGTCACGTAGAATGTGAAATATTTTAAATGCGACACGAACGTCTATAACCCGATGATAGTATTTGAGGGTTCAGTGTCATCAGGGACATCGTGGCCCTAGAGTTCAACGTTTGTTACATCTTTCATTCCCCATTGAACTCCCATTTTATTTAAGGCCACGATAAACGTACCTTTCTCAATATTACACGCAGCGAATATGTACGGCAGCAAAGTTAGTGCAATTGGTAAGTCGTAAAATTTTAAGATCGCCTGCAACCCACATTTTTCTGGTCCCTTCGTGAACATTGAGCCCGAGGTCCCCGAAACGAATTTCCAAAAGTTCCGGTTCGCCGTGTTTTACGGGCCAGAGGGAAAGCTTCGGCTTTCAAACATTATTTAAACAGCTAGATCTTGCTGGTTGGGTGAGTAGCTTTCACGAGGAAATTTTCTCGAAACGATTCTCGGGCTAACGCGTTTAATGACGTCGAACGTATTGGAATAACATTCGAGTTTCCAGTCAAGTAGACTACAGACCGATATAGCTCGACTGACTATCTGTGCACCGGCGGATATTTAAAGTAGCGAACGAGTTATATTTAAATCTTTTGCCGCATGCCTCGAGCATGCTTCCCGTATCGCGCACAATGCGGTCACGTTCTGTAATATTTCATGTGTTCTCGTGTTGGCACTCGTGAATCTCGAATTCGATGTTACCTGACTATTAGACAAGCTCGAGAGAGAAAGTAGCTTGGCCGCTTTGCAACCACCGATAGGATGTCTCACGATGAACTATCATTCGTATTGCGTTACAGACGAAGTATTTGATATTTTTAATATTCGAACAGTTTTGAAGTCAAGTTAAAAAAACATTGTTAAACGTGTAACGTGTATAGTCCAACGTTGACTATATATTCGTAGCTTGTGACTTTTCGTTCTGAAGTAACGCTTTCTAAAAGAGCATTAAAGAAAATTGAATTTTATAAGTATTCCTATAATTCATATCATTGTAAATTTAAAATTCGTATGAGGAGTCTTGGTGATCTAAAATATTAACAAACCAACCTGTAGGATAATTTGTATAGGAAATTTCAGAGTTCGAAATTGCAGAGAAAACACACGAAATGATAGAACCTCATAAAAATATCCAAAGTATCTTTTTCCGAAATTTCGCGAAAATTTGCAGTCTATTAAT